TTCTTGGGCAGCTTCTGCTTGGCCATGGCCAGCGAATAGTACATGCCGAAGTTGTTGACAATGACGGGCACGGGCATGGCGATGGTGAGCACCCCGGCCAGGGCACACAGCGCCCCCACCAGCATCCCCGACCACGTCTTGGGGTACATGTCTCCATAGCCCAGGGTTGTCATGGTGACCACGGCCCACCAGAAGCCGATGGGGATGTTCTTGAAGTAGGTGTGGTTGGAGCCCAGGATGTCGTCGGGGTCGGCGCCAATGCGCTCGGCGTAGTAGATCATGGTGGCGAAGATGAGCACGCCCAGTGCCAGGAAGATGATGAGCAGCAGGAACTCGTTGGTGCTGGCGCGCAGCGTGTGGCCCAGCACGCGCAGCCCCACGAAGTGGCGCGTGAGCTTGAAGATGCGCAGGATGCGCACGAAGCGCACCACCCGCAGGAAGCCCAGCACGTCCTTGGCGGCCTTGGAGCTGAGGCCCGACAGGCCCACCTCGAGATAGAAGGGCAGGATGGCCACACAGTCGATGATGTTGAGGCTGCTCTTGAGAAACTCCACCTTGTCCGGGCAGAAGGTGATGCGCATGAGGAACTCAAAGGTGAACCAGATCACGCACACGCCCTCCACGTAGGTCAGGAAGGGCTCCGTCTCCACCTCCACGTTGGTAACGTTCTCCGGCGGGGCCCCGGGGATCGGGGAGGCCTGCGTCACCGTCTTGTTGATGATGTGGATGAAGCCCTCGTGGGTCTCCAGGCAGAAGGTGGTGATGGAGATGAGAATGAAGAAGAGGGAGGCGAAGGCCACATACTGCGGGGCGGGGTGGGGGAGAGAAGGCGAAAGGTGACCGGGCATCTGGTCAACCAGCCAGCTCCACATGACCCTCCCAGGGCTTCCTTTCCCAGCCCCAAATGCTTCCCTCTCTGATCCCCTCTCCACTCAGGCTAGCAAAAGGGAAGGCAGAGGGCCAGAGGCGGCTGTCTCCCAGCCCCGAGGAGGGGCTGGCCCCAGTAGCTGCCGCACAATGGACAGCTTCCATCCTGGAAACAGCAATTTCTGGCCCCATGCTCTGTTTCCTAGACCACCTTCCCTCACCCTCCCGTCCCCATGTCCAATCTCTGGGCTCTGCTTTGGAATCCAGGCAGGCAAGGGGAGACTAAGATCACATACCCTCTGTGGCTCAGAGGGTTTGCAGATGGGCCTGGAGCTGAGGGAAGGGGAAGGGGAGGTGGGTGCGAAGGCAGAACCATGAGGCGGCTAAGAGTAAAACCTTGGGTTTGAATCCAGCCTTCCCCCGCCTAACTTGGGCAAGGCGATTAAGTTTGCCAATCCTCAAGCTTTTACAGGATTGTTGTAAGAATTACATTAGATATGTAGACAAACGACCTGGCTGCAAAAACAGTGCTTGGCCCCGTGTCTGGAACTCAGGCCTGAGCTTTTATGAGGGTATGGAAGCATCATTTAGTGGGGGCAAAGTAGGGGCCTCAGAAAGGAGCCAGGGTTTACAGACCTTGGTGCCAATGTCTGAGCCCCAGGAAAGTGAGAAGGCTGGTGAGGCCCTCACCCACAGAGGAAGGGCAGGGGTGGAACCACAACGTGGAGGAGGGGTGTTAGGGCCCCGAAGGTGGAAGAAGTAGTGTCAAGTCTGCAGAAAGGAAAGGGGGATACAGATGAGGAGAGGTGGGGTTTAAGGCTCTTAAGAGGAAGGGGGAGTCAAGACCTCGGGGAGAGGGCAGGACTAGGGCCATAAAAAGGTGAGGGGGCTTTTCAGAGGTGCAGAGAATTGGGGGTGGAAGCGTGCCTGGTCATTTCAGGATAGGGGATGACCAGAATCCTGCCAAACAATGTTGTGGGATTTGATGAAAGCCTTGAGGAAGCGAGAGGATGGGATCAAGATCTTGGAGAAGGGGATGGACCAGGTCCTTAGAGATGATAGTGGGCTTTACCAAATACATAGAGGGGAAGGAGTGAGGTTAGGCCTTGGTGAGGGAAGGGAATCAGTGTTGGGGCAGAGGGGGCTCTACTCAGATGAGTAGAGGAGGAAGGGCCTGGGGTGCAGAGAAGAGAGGGGGCCCAGGGTCAGGCTGCGGAGGACCCTAACTCTTGGGGTGGGCTGGGGGTCAGCGAGGGCCCCCTCTGCCCCGCCCCCCTCTTCGTTTCTCCGCAGTGGTTTAAGAGGCCACAGGCCGCCGCAGAGCGCATGCCTGGAGCTCCCCCTCCCG